CTATGTTTAAATATGTATACGAACAAAAATACCATTTGCATGAACAGAGGATGTTCCGGTATCGAAGTTATGCGTTTCATCGTCAATTGTTATGTTTAAATCTGTATACGAACGAAAAAAATTTAATTAACTAATGAAATGTGCAAGTGTTAAATTTGACTATGGTAGCGTTCGTTACGAAAATATACAGGTCATAAGAGTACCTGGTATGCACGGGTTTGGCATTGGACTGCGTAAAGGGATAGATTCCTCATCGTCAATCGGAATGTTTAAATCTGAATATATAAACATTACTATAAATGAATATGAACTGAATGACAGCGTTCAATTTGAGTTTAGTATAATTCGTTAAAAACATATTTGGTTAGTAATGTTACCTGGTATGACGTCATTGCGAATTTGTAGACGTAAAGGGACAGACTCCTCTTCAAAGGCTGATAGCAAATCTCTTTGAATTACATGTCCTTCTTCAATTGCCGAACCATGTATTGTTTTACCAATATGAACTTGATGTGGTGATCTACAACCTAAATTTAATACAATATTCAAATTAACAAATATACCTATCTTTTAAATGTTTTAAGATTATATAACATATTAGTCTACGACGTTACCAGTTAAGCACGACTCCGGTATGGTGGATATTGTGTTTTGTTTCACTTCAAGAACAATTCCTTGCCGGTTGGAAGAAATTACGTGTGTTTGGGAAGAACCTACTGTAATCATATGTAATTCATAAACATTAATATGCCTTATATAATATTAATACAACCAAATAATTTGACAATAATATTCGATCATAATATAATAAACAGGATATGTACATTCACAAATAATGTATATCACTCAATTGTAGATGATTTACCGTTTGTGATGTTACTCAATGGTGTGATATTTTCAGTCAAACACCAAGCAATTGAAGGACGTGTTCGGCGCAATGGTGTAGGTTGCTCTACATTATGCGAATCATTACTTGTTGATGGTGAAGTCAAGCAAGTATTCTCTGTGAAATAGAATAACAAATTATAAAAATAAAAATTATGACATTACGTAAATTCATATCACATCACATAACCTAATAAAATTGAAATTGAACCACATAAACTTGTAAATGATATAAATCACGTTCAAATTAAAAGACAAAATATTTGTTGTTCCATCAATTTACTGATAATGTGTAGTATTCATTGTATTAAAATAACATAAGTAGCAAATTTATAAATTAAGTACACATAACATAATAAGTTAACAAAATTCGAAAGTTTGCCAATTAATTACACATCACATAATTAATTTCAATTTTTGTGTACACAATTTTATAATTGAAAAGGCAAAAATTATAAGGCATAAATTATATTAAAATTTATGCAGTGGATCATCCTGGACAAATTTGTGTGGACAATGAGTAACATTATCATAAAAAATAAAATATCGTACTACAAAATTTATTCACATTTTGGTACACATAACGCACTTACACTTGTAAGACAATACAACATATTCATGTAATTAGTGTCAGTAAGACACATTAAAAGGCAAATTACATGGTGGTCCATGGACCAAAAAATATTGTGTACCTTGGACCACAATTTAGTGTGAACCACGTTTAAATATATAATTAAATATTATATATCATAAATATCTATTTTATAAATTAAATACACATAACATAAGTTATTTTAATATTTTAGAACATAAATTTGTAATTTCTATAAAACAACATAACCTTATGAAATAAATTGCTGAAAATTACAACATAAAAAAATAATATATATATATATATATATATATATATATATATATATATATATATATATATATATATATATATATATATTATTTACTACTCCCTCTGTCCCATTTTGCATGTCTTACTTTCCTTTTTAGTTTGTCCCAAAATGTTGTTCTCTTTCTAAAATTGAACATCACCATCATTCTACTTTTTCCCAAATTACCCTTATGACTTTTGCTTTTATTTCCAAAAGTGAAAAAGTGAAGGGCACAATTGGAAAATACATAGCATTTACTTTAATTCCTTAAAAAGTGTGCAAAAAGCAAATGAGACAACCAATTCGGGACGGAGGGAGTATTTCGGAACAATTGAGAAGAGATAAGAGATGAAGAGAAGCGTTGACCGCTTCTCCTCTCTCTGTCCGAACAGATCAGGGCAGCTCGAAATCTCTTCCCAAATTTCACGATCTCTCTGTCAATACTCTACCTAGATCATCCTACTATGATTCTTTTTGCCTTCATCTCTTCACGGCCAGACAATTTGTATATTTGTTATCAAATCGCGTCTAGATCGCGATAATCGTCTGTGCCTATATCGTCTGAAATCTGTCCTTTCTGGGTTCGATTTGTGAAATCAAGCTTGATTTGAGCTTGAAATCTGCCTAGACTGAAGATACTGATCTCATTCAAGGTTAGGATGAAAGTTGTATTTTCAAAATTGCAGTTAGGATTTTTTCGTTTTTAGTTTATTTTCGACTATGCATGAACATTGATCTTGTCTAATAAACTTATATGATATCTGGAACTTTAATTCCAGAATTGAATGATTCATATAAGCTGTGGTTATAAGTTGATTTCGTTTTACTGTTAATCTATAGAACTATGACTATTTCGTTTTTCTGTTAATCTATAGAACTATTACTATCTGCTATACATTTTGTAAAACATGTAATTGTAGTATTAAACATACAACTTGGTTAACTGGTTCAATTTTTTTTTTTTTTTTTTTTTTTTTGCATATACACTGAGAGGACAATACTTTGGAGTAATGAGAGGTAATCTATAGCAGATACAAAGTAGCTAATCAGACTTTTGAATTCAGCTTAGCGGGATTTGCAAGTCTAAAAAAGATAAGTTTCAAAAATACCTTTATTTTCTTCCTGTGATTTCCTTTTGATGCCTAGAATAGTTGACTTGGTAATCTGCCTCATTAGCTTGTATATTCTTTTTTGCTGAAACAGAAGTTTTGAAAATAATTTTTGGACTGAGCTATATGAAATTGTCTAAGTTTTGAATATAATCTTTTGTCTGAACTATAAAATTAAATGACTGCTTTGCTTAAGTAATTTAACTGATTTGATTTTTTGATATCCGCACTGGAACTGAAGGGTTTTTTATTCTATGTAATGATAGTAAAAAGCACTTGTTGTATTTAATATCCAAATCATTGTTTTTTTCAATAACAATGAGCAACTGTTAGTTTCACACACCTTCTATGTGGTATTACCTACTTCTTAAAATTGGCTACCAAAACATTTCATTCCAGTTATTAACAGAATCTATAATATATGTGTTCCATTTTTTTATATAGGCAAAGAAATGATGAATTAGAGGCATTTGAGAGCATACAATAATCCAAAAGCGAGCTGGTAGACGAATAAAACTGAAGGTCGTTCATCTCACATATTAGGTTCACATTTTGTACTTGATTTAGTGTATTTTCAGTAGTTGTTATGCCCATGATGGTATATATTTTGTAATTTTGGTCACTGCACACATTAAAGAAATAGTTAGACAAACTTTGATTGAATTTTACCCTTGTATTTGCAGAAAATTATAGAAAATTTTCTTGTTTTTGCCTTTTGGAATAAAAACTATACTTGAGGAGATTAGTCTTTCAAACTACTCTAGTCAGTAAATTTCTATAATTTTCTGCCTTTAATTGAGGGGAATTACAACATTTCTTCTATACTTGCACAGGAAAACCAACGGGGAAATATTTGTAGTTTTGAGGCAACTTTGGTGAGGATTAGCAGATCTGGAAATGAATGGGAAACTATTTGTAGATCTGGGAATGCTTTTGTGATGTTTAGCAAATCTGGAAAGCTACGGGAAAGTATCTGTAGTGGAGAGAATGCTTTAGTGTTTAGCTGGTCATTAAGGTACGCTTACTAACTATATAAAAATAAATTCTAAGTGGTATAGCTGTAACTGTAGTCCTATGTGTCGTACATGTACTTAAATGTATTGCTTGCATGTTTAAGTAGAAATAGTTGTAACAGTGACTTATGAAATGTGGTTTTATTTATTTATTTATTTTTTTTTGCTTAATAGTTTGTATTACTTTCATTTTACCAAATCTTAGAAGTTAATACTTACTAAATTCAAATGCATCTGTATTCTAATCTACCTATTTGCCTCAATTTTCTTGCTTGACTGTAATACGCCTATGTGCCAAAAAAACATTTAATGTGTGTTAGTTCATTACATATTTGCATTCTTTACTAACTTTTTTGTCCAGGAAATTGGCATATGATGAAAAAAAAATCTAATGCCCATAGTTTACTGAAATAAAAATGCTCAGTAAAATTTGTTGTGGCACGTGATTAAAGTTTAATCTGATGCCCACACTTGTGTAATACAAAAAGCATATCATGTGTGTTACTTAATTGCCTATTTGCACTTATACTAATTTTTTTTTATTAGAAACTTGGCATGTGAATAAAAAGCATGCAATTTTACAAAATAGTATAAGTATACTACTTAACCTAGTACACTTTACAAAACAAAATACAGATCAGTGATATACAAAACTTGTCCCAGATTCCTTCTTTCTAATGACTTGTGAGTGGATCCTTCTTGTTTGTAACCCACTTGAAAAGAAAAAGTATGATTGTTAACACTGATAATAGGTTCATGTTAGAAATACGTAGCAGTAGTTAGATTTTAAGGCCTTACACTTTGTTCCTATGCTTGTCAACTTGATTTTCCCTTCTCAAACATTTCTGGAAAATCACCTGAAATCAAAGTGAAGAAAACAGCAAGACATTTTCTAATACGATATGTCAATTTGGGATGTAAAATGATCATAACACAGTTATATAAAATAAAAAGAAGCATTTCAACCTTAGCAAACAAAAAACTAAAGCCGTTAAATTAGTAGGACAACAAATTAAAAATCCATCAGCCAGACGTCACAAAAACATTGTATCAAATTGTCTAACATCCAAAAAACAGTAAAAATTGTTTTTTCCACAGTAGAAGTTCATTCAAGCTGTCTTCTCCTTCTTGATGTTGGGGGCTGTTGTTCTCTTGCGACTTTTGGATGAGGAAAACTCATCCAAGAGTGATCTTTCTGTAGCTAAGGAGCTGACCACAGTGTCATCAGGTTCATGTTGAGAGGGCTGCATAGATGCAGGACTATTAACCTCTACACCTATAGATGCTTCCTGTATATAAAACAAAGGATTAGTAAGTTTTAGTAGTAGGTAATAACAAAATGAAAAACATAGATCTAGGTTTAGTAAGACATTCTTACTTCAGAATTTTCAGCACTGTTTGTTTCCTCCTCAAGCATCTTTGAGATTAAATCTTGCTCTTGGTGCTCGACAAACCTGTCACTATAAGTCTGGACCAAATGTTCGTCCCTTAACAGCCTCAACACATTGAAAGGAGAATTTTTACCCCGCTTTAGAGCCAATTTTAAACCTACTTTAAACAACATCTTCATTCCCACAATAGCATCCAACTCGGGGGGGACTTCAACATCAGTCTGCCATTTGGAATTGAATTAGAACATTACAGTAGATGCATATATACAACTAAAACATAGGTTCATGTAAGTACTAATAAACCTACCTCCTTGTATTTCTGATACAATAAGCATGCAGGAATTCCAACCAGCTCAGCAACTTCTCTGTCCCAAAGCAAGAGTGGAGCATCTCCACTCTTGTCTAAAGCAATGATGACCACCTTATACCTGACAGTACCCATAGTATATGGCTTATGACACTTAGTGCACACAAGTGATCCTCCATCATCTTTTAATTTCTTATTACAGCCAGCTGACATGCATGACACATAATACCACCCATCATCAAGATTTAAACCCAAGATTTCAGCAGCAACATAGTATTCCCCATCCTACAGTGGTCAAAAAAAAAAAATTATAGATTATACATAGGAACTCAGATCTTAAATAAACAGTCAATAAAGTAGTTTCTGTTTCTTACCACTTGTGTCCTCTTAAGGTCGTAGCAGGTAGTCACAATGAGTCCACCACTTTTAAAGTCACTAATGCCAGCATCCTGTGAGTGCAGAGTCCCCGTACTCAAACTCTTCATGGGAGTTCTTTCAGATTTCATGCTTCATAAAAAGTTTAAACAAAATCAGTGATTAGCAATATCAAGCATTATATTCACTGGCAGATATTTGGCATGTGAACAAAGACCATAACAGTATGCCAATAGTTGAAGAAATGAAACAAAGTGAGCTGATTGTAATATGCCTATTTGCCAAAAAAACTTGTAATGTTTGTTTGATAATTGCATATCTGCATTTTATACTAATTTTTTTTTTCAGAAATTTGGCATGTGATGAAAATAAATACTCATGCCCATCATTTACTGAAATAAAAATAATCAGTAAAATTTTTGTAGCATGTTATTAAACTTTATTCTGATGCCCATACTTGTGCATGAAATTTAAATCTGCCTATTTCTCAACATATGATGCGAATACATGAATGATTGATTCTAATCTGCCTATTTCTCAAAACAGTAAGTAATGTGTGTTAGTTAATTGCCTATTTGCATTTTGTAATATCTTTTTTGGGTGCAGAGAATTGGCATATGGTTAAAAACAAATTTCAGACCCATACTTTTATATGCCTAATTGTCTATTTGCCTTTTATACTAACTTTTTGTCCAGAAAATAGGCATGTGATGAAATTATAATCTGATGCCTTTCATACTAAGCTTTTAAATCTGGCTTACTGCTTATTACTTCCAGCAATTAAATCTGATGCCTTTTATATAAAATGTGATGCAATATTTTACTTCATTTAAATAACATTATAGAATTACATTAGTGTACTTACTTGGACTTGAACTCTAGAAATTCCTCAAAATCTTCATTGAACCATAGCTTGGTAGCATCATATGAGCTGGTGATTCTAACCTCACCTGAAAAAAAAACACATTAGTTGTCTGGAATGAGTAATTAGCTGCTAGAATGGGAAGGAGGATAGAAACTCACCACTAACCACCTTAGCACGACAGCACTGAATCACAACAATAAGTGGTTCGATTGAATCACAATTGTAATACGGCATGAGTGATGCAACATGTTCATTCCATAGAGTACATGACAGTGTGTTCTCATTGCCATGATAGTAGTAAAAACCAAACCAACTTATGTGAGTATAATAAAGTCAATACTGATAGGAAAAAACAGAAACAAATGAAGTCAATAAGTACTTCATTAATAGGAAAAAACAGGAATAAATGAGTACTTACAGATTATCCTCAATCTGAAAGTCAATAAGTTTCGTTGCCTTTCCACCTATAATCTTATCCACAGGATTATAGATCTCAATTACTCGACCAATAACATCTGGCAAATGAAATTTTTTCATTAAGTTGTTAGCAGTTGAGCTTAACATAGGATATTAAAAAAACTAGACAGAAATGAATAGATAGTACCAATAAGTTCCTTGTCGTTCACATCTGCAGTCTCTTTTAAAGAACTGAAACTCTTTAATCGAAACATTTTAAAAGGAAATCCTAAAGAGTTTATCTCCTTCACTTCTGTCTTGTAGTTCAATTTCAGCATATATGCATGCTGTGTAATCTTGTACACATAATAATTTGTCGCAGCAATGAAATTCTTAATTTCGTACAGTTTTCCTTCCTTGAATATCTCTCTATATTTCACCACATGATTTTTTAGAATGCTAGCATGAATATAGCTTCCCTGAAAAAAAAAACAGAGATTAGTGATATATGAAGGGACAAAAATAGATAACAGTTAGATGAATGAACAAAAATAGACAACATTACCTCTTCATCATGCATTAGTACTTCCATACTCTTACTGCTGTTACCCTCTCCCCGTTTCTCTGGCACTTCGAATACTCTGACTGCTCTAACACGAATTGCCCTGAGTTGGTGTTGAGGTTTAATGTCCTTCACAAGTATGAACATTGATGGCATTCTGTTAAACTTCCTGATATGATATTCGGGCTGTAAGCAATCAGTTTTTCGAGTGGCAAGAATACTACATACCAATAAGATGATTATTTATAGACCTTGAAGCGTTGGATATTTCAAATGAAGGATCAACCGATTGTGTATGGGAAAGACGCAAATTTTCAAAATGTATTAATTGCAGAATGCAACTCTGCGTCTTCTTTATATATATATATATATATATATATATATATATATATATATATATATATATATATATATATTTAATTATGTTACCATTTGTTTATTCAACCATTGGTTATTTGAGCATGATAATGATGTTGTTTAAAGTACCAATTATTCTACATTAAATGATTTTCTTGAGACGAAAGGACTTTAGTGTTCTTTTAATTAGATTCACTTCAGAATACGAAGAGTTGTGATAAAGAAAACGGCAAAAATGAAAAGACAATAGGCACGCGTACAACTTCAAACAACCGGCAATTATATCATTTTTATTTCTGCAAAACGGCGTAGTTTAACATAGGATATGCGAAACAATAATTGCATAAAAATGCACAATGGCGTTTTATCCAATGGACGGGAAACAATGATTGGCAAAATTTTCTTGCTTTATTATAGAGTTAGATTGATTACATGGGAACGAGATATGAACCATCACGCCAACTATATTAGTTATTTTAATATTTCTTTTATCCCAAAATTAAAATACAATGTTTACCTTAACCTCATAACCTGTGTCCGACTGTCTGTGTTGGTGCCGAAAACAGAGACTACAAATATGCTCAGAAAGGAGGGAAACAATGCTGAAACCCCCCATTGAACCCTAATCCCCAATCCCGCGCCCTTCTTTGGACTCAAAAGATGATTTAGCAGCACAAGGAAATCTATCCGCTTGCTCTTCCCCATTCCATTGAACCCAAAAATACCAAGGGGTGTTTCTGATTCTCGCTTACTCAGTGCGCTCTGTGAACTGTGAAAAAGGACATTTTTTTAATTGGTTTCAATGGCCAGACTTCTTCGAAACTTCTCCTCTTTCAGGCAGTCTCTTTTATCGCAGCCAATTGTGAGTTTTCTCAAACCCCAATTCATTTTCTCCTTTTAATTATTTTATTTTCTCGTGATTGATTGCAAGGGCTATGTATTATTCATTGTACAAGTGCTTGATTCTCCTTTTCCTTTTGTTTTTAGCTAGCTTGTAAGTAGTAACCTCTTTTTAGTTGCCAAGTAGCAATCATTGTGTTTGCTTATGCAGGGCATAAGGAATGGCTTAGTTGGGGCCTCCACTCAGATATGCCACTTCGCTTCTAAAGGTGTGTAAAATGGGTGCTGTTGGTAATCTGTCCTGCTTCATTTGCTTAGTCCTAATTTTTAAAGGCATTGATACTGGTATTTTGTTTATATAATCATACGATATTCAGAGAATGCAGAAGTGATGTATAACAATCATTTTCTGTAGGAACTTCACAATGGTCTTTGCATACTTATTTGTGCAATGTGGTGTCACTTGTTAGTCAGCCTGACATAGGCAGCTCAGAAGCTGCATGTTTTGATTGCATTGCTCACGTTTTACAGAAGTTTCAGCTGCTCTGTTTATTTCTGGATGTCATGATCCTTTAGTTGGTTGTGGTATTTAGACTGGCCTGATTGTCTTCGTAGAATGAATAAGCCAATCTTTGTTATGTTATTTATGTTCAGGTAAAAGGAAATCGAGTTCAGATGAAAGCGACTCGGGAGAAGAGAATTTGTCCAAAAAAGATTTGGCTCTTAAACAAGCGCTAGATCAAATCACTAAATCATTTGGAAAGGGGTCCATAATGTGGCTCGGCCGTTCTGTCTGCCCCAAGCAGGTTCCAGTGGTATCAACAGGATCTTTTGCTTTGGATATTGCATTAGGAGTTGGAGGACTTCCAAAGGTTGGTGATATAAGAATATAAGATGATTCACAAATTTGCTCTTTTGAGAATCTGATACTGTGAAATATAATGCTATAGTTATTTAAGCATATACATCCAAACAATTGGACTATTTCTTTCTTGTTGCATGTTTTCGTTGTTTGTAACAAAACATTATTATTCACGAATTCTGCCTCTATTTAGCTACTTATCTATGTGGGACACAGTTGTTGAAAGTATCATTATTTTTTCAATATTCTTCTATTTGGGATGTTTCTTCAATTTCGTTGTTAATTTTAACCCAAAAGGTGCACCATGAATAAACACAAATATAGCTGCCGAAATTCTTGTTTTGGTATAATATCTGATGTTGCCCACTACCTCAATGCTTCTATTGTACGCCTATCATTTTCAACTTTGTTCAGGGACGTGTAATAGAGATTTATGGTCCAGAGGCTTCAGGGAAAACAACGCTTGCTTTGCATGTAATTGCGGAGGCACAAAAACAAGGAGGTTACTATCTTACACTTAACTCACACATTTTTTTTTTTTCTTTTTTTTCTTGAAGAAATTATCTAAACTATGAACTGAGACTGTTGACATGATCTGCTAAGGGGAGACGAGAAAAATAAAATGAAATTGAGTAGTGTTATAGATATTCAATATCAAATTAATCAAAACAAAAATTCTTTTCAATATTAAGTTTATTCATAACTCCTTCCTATTGACTTATAAAAAAAATAGAACTTCTTAGAATCTCAGTTGAAATTTTAAGATTAATTTAACTAATTAATTATGTTGTCGTATCACACTAACTTAAACTTAGTCACTCTCATAAAACTAATGTATTATGAAGTAGTTTTTTTACTATAGAAAGTTTGGAATTTGTAACTAATTGAATGTTCTGTTTGTCTTTCCATATGTCATATTGTCATTTGTTCATATCTTTGTTATATAATTTTTTAAATATATTAATTATTGCATTTCTTTTACCGATGTATCTATGTTATTTACCATGATATATGTATTTAAAGAAAATTGAACGAAAACTGCTCATGCTATTCATTTTCAATACTATTATTTAGTTTCTTTTTTATATTATCAAATAAATTGTATTCTTTAAATGTATATTCAAGTAAACTGCCCATGCTATTCATTTTCAATACTATTTATAAACTTGAATTAAATTAAATAAATAATTATAAAAAAGAGAGCTGTTTGTCAGGGCATATATGGTCAGATCTGGCTTTGGTCATGCTTTTTCAGCCACTGGTGAACTCTCTTTTTTAAATTTTAATTATTAATTTCATTTGGAGTAATGTGTTAAAAATTAAAGCTACCTTAGAATGTGGCAGTGTTGATGTCATTGGCATGTCAACAAAGTTAATAATTTTTCTAATGATTTTAACTTTTGTCTCTAATTTTATCAGCTTTTAAACAACTGCGACTAAATTTACCAAAACTCAAGTAGGGTGATTGATTTGAACAAAATGTTACAATACAGGGACCACCTAGATTCTCAGGTGTACTTTAATTTAAATGAAAACATGTAAAGTCCCTTAAAATCAAATGCAAGAGTATAGAACTTAGATATTTTTGAAACAAACCAAACTATAGTATGAGAGGGCAAAGAATGTAGACAGGTTGGATCAATGAATAGAGTAAGTTCGTTGACTGAATATGTTGTGTTATGTTCTAAATTTCCAATGCTTCAATACGTTGGGTTAGATATAATTCCAATGTAGAGACTGTTGATTCTAGAATTTTGTAGGGTATTGTTGTTTTGTGGATGCTGAGCATGCTCTAGATCCGGCACTAGCAGAAGCTATTGGGGTAAACACTCGAAATTTGCTTGTTTCCCAACCAGATTGTGGTGAGCAGGCTCTCAGTCTTGTGGATACTCTGATCAGGAGTGGTTCGGTTGATGTTGTTGTTGTAGATAGTGTAAGGTCACACCTTGATCAGTGTGTTAGCTTTATGGTTATGAGTTTATGATAGTTCATGGTTTAATGCAATATATACCCGTTTGCTATTAACAAGTAACTTTGACTGGCAGGTAGCTGCCCTTGTCCCAAAAAGTGAACTTGAAGGTGAAATGGGAGATCCACACATGGCAATGCAGGCTAGGCTAATGAGTCAAGCACTACGCAAACTGAGCCACTCGTTATCTTTATCACAGACTGTTCTTATCTTTATCAATCAGGTATGAATCTGAACCACTCCACCCTGTATTCCTCTTTCTATTCTCTGCATTTTAAATTATTTTTGTGTAATTAATGCATGTATTTACATCTTAATTTACCTCAGCTTTTTATGGATTACCTTAGAGTAACACATACATCAATGTAAAGGCCTTGCTGAAATGTTATATCTTTTTCAGGTGAGGGCAAAGCTCTCTACTTTCAGTGGATTTGGAGGGCCTCAAGAAGTTACTTGTGGTGGTAATGCTCTGAAGTTTTATGCTTCAGTGCGTCTAAATATCAAGAGAGTTGGGAATGTCATCAAAGGGGAACAGGTATTGACTCTCCTTGAAAACATTTTTTTTTTTTTTTTGGAATGCTACTGACTCTATTACAATGTAGTATCTGTTCATAACTACTTTTTCAACCTACTGAAGCACAAAGAGTCAATGCCGTCTCCACTGAGGCTCAAACCCACACCCTCCCATATGGGAATGCAACCTTGGTGCCATTAGACCACAAGGTCTTGGCGACTCTCCTTGAAAACATATTTGTGGACATTCATTGTCTTGAGGAAAATGTCATGGAATTCATGGTAGAAGTGGAATAAAGCTGACTCTCTTAGGTTGTTTTCCTCTTACAGACTATAGGAAGCCAAGTTGCCGTGAAAATTGTAAAGAACAAGCTTGCTCCTCCATTTAGAACTGCAGAATTTGAGCTTGAATTTGGCAAAGGAATATGTCGGGAATCAGAGCTTATACAATTAGGGCTGAAACACAAATTCATTTCAAAGATGGGAAGTGCATATTATGGTATGAACAACCAGACATTTCATGGCAAAGACGCTCTCAAGCAGTATTTAGCCAAGGACATTAGTGCACGAGAAGAACTTATTATGAAACTTAGGGAAAAGCTCTTGCATGACGTTGGCAATAAGGATGCAGCTGGCACAGATACTGAAAATGGTTACCCCGTTGAAGTTGTTTCTAGCGACACCACTGACGATGAAGTTGTTGCTACAGCAGCCGAGGTGTGAGTTGGGAATTCAGATACAACTTTACTTAATGTTGGCTGGTCAGATTGGTTTGCCATGATTCATCTGCAATTGTACTTGTTTAGCAGGAGAATCCGAGCCTTGGTCCTGCAGATTAGATTTATCATATACATATTCGGATATTCCTCACCAAGGTTCGGGGGGGTGGGGGGGGGGGTTGGGTGGGGGTGGAGGGGCATGGCCTTTCTTCAATTTTGTTAAATGATCTACATTGCAAATATGCTAATTCATGTCCTCTTAGTTATGTCAACCATGGCTATTCTGTATATATCAGTGATAACAATACTGACTTGTTATACTCTATTCACCTCTCTAAGAGTTGCAGATCACATTAAAATGTTAATTTCTTTGTTGAATATCCCAGATTTTGAACATTAAAGCTCCCTGGTTATGGTTGCTGTTAATTTCTTTAAAAAGCCTATGATGATTCGAGTTTACCTTTGATGCTAACTACACATTCAATGTGAGCCACATTACACAGCTTGCAAGGGATTTAGAGGCTTTTCAACACATCTCTGTGTACAACAGGTATTTTCTTTGATACCTATTCATCGTAAGCCGACAGTGGGTGCTGGACACCGGTCTCTGCCTAACAATTCCCCCCCTCATTGCACGGCAAATTATGCTGTGCATTCGTGTGCACCATGCATGGTACACACGGATGCAAAAACGACATCGTTTTGACTAAAAACACGCGTCCAACTTAAAAAAAAAAATTCAGTTTCGATTCCCGTCAACAACATTATGTTGTGCATAATTTCTGAATGTATAGTTATGAAATTATGGATGTATAGTTATACAATTCTGGATTTATAGTTATGAAATTATGGATGTGTAGTTATGCAATTCTGAATGTATAGTTATGAAGTTATGCAATTCTGGATTTATAGTTATGAAGCTATGTAGGTGTAGTTATGCAATTCTGGATGTATAGTAATAAAGTTATGGATGTGTAGTTATGTAATTATGGATGTATAATTATGCAATTATGGATGTATAGTTATGGAATTATGGATGTGTAGTTATGCAATTCTGATTTTTTTTTTTTTTTTTTTAAGTCGACGTCAAAACGACATCGTTTTTGCATCCGTGTGCACCATGCATGGTGCACAACATAACGACTCTCATAGCACCTACTACTCTTAAATGTTATTGATGGGACAGTGGGACTTGAGTTGGCTCTGATACTACTTGTTAGGATTAAGCGCTTACCACTCACGCTAAAAGCTATAGCTAGTAGCGAAGACGCAACTTTATTTCCTTATACCGCCACACATTTTTAAAACGCTGGGTGCTAGACTTGGCCTTTACCGGCCTCTGCTTAACAATCTCCCAGCTACCGGGTACTAGACTTGGCCTTTACTGACCTCCTTCCAACAATCATAGAGCCTATTATGTTGACTTCTTCTAAGTATTTCATATACTATTCAATAATGTACACTATTGTGACTTCATCACCCATCCATGATTTGCATCCTTGGAAATTCTGTCAGCAAAATTTTCTTTGCAGCTGTACCCTTTTTTTGGCTATTTCTTGTGCATATCCTGTTTCGGCAAATTGGAGTTTGATTAGTGATCATTGTGGAATTTTGCAAAAGTATTGAATTTTCAAATGATAATTTTAATATATTGACAAGATTATCAGATTTCAAGCATTTAATGGCAGGTGGTCCATGCCAAACTTTTTGACATGTGTTTAAATGGAATCTTCTTCTGTGATACCATGTAAACATGATTTCCTGTATCTGTAGCCATCAGGAAAAAACATATCTGGAAAAAACCTCCTTTCAAAATTTCTTGTGGGATGTTTCCTAGTTTGCTTCCTCTATGATGAACAAGAAGTGGCATTGCTTTTTTGTTCTGGATAGCACAGGTTCTCGGAAGATTCCTAGACCAATTTTCCATCCAAGTTAATCATTGAGTTCTGAAAAGACATTTCAACTGCCACTTATAATTAATCTTAAACATTCTTCCCAAAAGGTTGAATCCCCTACCCCAAAGTCCCCCACATCCTTTGAAGGATGTAAATCATGGTAATTTTTTTAAAAAATGATCTTAAACATTCTCATAGGAATAATATTTATTTATTTATTTATTTTTAAAATAGAACTTCTAGGCTCCGTTTGGAAAACAGGAAAATGACTTCTGGAAAATATTTTCTGGAAAATTGGTCATTTTTCAGAAAATATTTTCCTTTCATGTGTTTGGCTACAGTATGGAAAACTGTATTTGTGTGTTTGGTTCATTTTCTAGAAAATGAGCAGGAAAATGAAAGAAATTGAATACTTCAAAATTTTAATTATTTGATACTTTTGATAAAATCCTTTTGTGAGTAGCACTCTTTTGATATATACATATTGTTAGGAACAAATGTACTTAGATTTTGATGATACCAATCTTGCTAGGATTGTAGATCCTTCTTTTTATTGGAACTTTCATGTTAGACGGAAGCTGACTTAACTCACCATGTGATTCGTACTATGTAATTCACCTACACGAATCTGAGTTGCGTTTAGAGTGTTAAGTCGACTTGAAGAAGTGAAGACCAAGAGAAGAACGAGCGAACAATTTAGACCGAAAGTTGGAAGGGTCTAACTCTCGTATAACTATCAAATGATAAGGAAGATCATTTGACTGAAAGGGAAAACGAAAGATGAGGACAATCTTTCGTGTGACTTTCCTAAGACCGTAAAAAGACAACTCGTATAATGAGACAAGAAGATGTTGTCTAAGTATCAACACTGGGCAATCATCCTAAACAAAAGGAGTCCTAAGAATGATAGTCGCAAATACCAAGGAGCATTAAATGATTGGTACTTCTTGTCAGCAAGAAAGGACAAAAAGTCATGCTTCTTTTTGACACCAACGGCTACAAAGTACAGCCGCATTAATGCTCCATGCCCAGTGGATAATACACATTGGTTAATAGGTTTGAAATTTCATCTCCCTCCAACGGATGAATTTTTCCTCACCTATAAATACCTCTCTTCACCACTGAAGAGACTGCTGGTTGTTCAACTGATTTTATTGTAGAAAAGCTCTTCAAACAAGTTCATCCAAAAGCTTTTCTTAGCCAACGTGTTATTGTGAAGTCTTTCAAAAAAGCTCATCCAGATTTCATACTTCACAATCCTTAAGAAGTCTTGCATCTTTACACGAAGATTCATTCGATCATTAAGTCAAGATTTCAAGCTGTTGGAGAAACACATCATTTCTTTCCAACCCTCAACTCTGAAGAAGAAGTTGATAGAGGCGGAGTAAACTCAAGGAGTTGAAAAACCTTCCAAGTAGCTGTCCGGCTTAATGATCAAGGAAGCTAGTTTGAATAGTTTGTACTAGGAGTGATAGTGCAAACCATTTCACAAGTTGTGAAAGAAGAGTGGAGTATGTTTTGTTAATAGCCGAACCACTATAAAAATCTCTCTCTCTACCTCTCCTTACAGTTGCTTATCTTATTTGCATTGCATGTCATACGGACCAAACCATAAACTTTCATAATGAAACTGTGCAAAGTTCATCTTAAAACAAACATACAATTTTCGCTGTGCATAACTCCGAAAGGAGTTAATCTGAAAAATCGATTGGAGTCTATTCACCCCCATCTAAACTCTCTTTCGACTCTACCGAGACCAACACATATACATACATACATAAATAAATAAATAAATAAATATATATATATATATATATATATATATATATATATATATATATATATAACTTTTTTTTTTCAAAAAATTTTTAAATATAAAAAAATCAATATTATTTGTAGCCTTTACTTATTTTTTGAACTTTGAATTAAAAAAAAAAAGCTCGCGGATCGGCTCGCAGGACCCGCCAACTTGTATGGGGCCGGCTATGGTTACGCCCGAAAAATTTTGCATGTGCTTCTCTTGGAAAATGATTTCCCCCCCAAAAAATGAAAAGTCATTTTCCACCAATACATACCTGTTTTCCTTTGATTAAGACATCATTTTCTATTGACCTCATTTCCCCCTCTTGCCAAACACTGAAAACCCAAAAAATATTTTCCAAAAGTCATTTTTCAAGTTTCCAAACGCACCCTAAATGGAAAAACACTATATTTGGAGTTTATTTTTATTTTATTTTTTTAAAAGGGAAAAGGACCATAAATCATCAACTATTTAATACTCCGTAACATTCAATTGTACCGTCAAATTAGAAAATATTTTACATAGCACCCAAACTCTAAAAATGTCCAAATAGCACTTTTAGCATGTTACTACTATATAACATGTTTAGTTCACGGAAGTGATTTTGAAGGAATATGAATGTAATTCTATATGGAATGAAATAGGTAAGGAATAGAATATAAATTCTATTCCATTGTTTGGTTCACTAAGTAATTTTAGGAATTGTATTATAGTGTATGATTGGTTAAGGAATAAAAATGGAATAAGTATTCAAATGACATAAATATCCTTTATATATACTGAATGTTATATATATATATATATATATATATATATATATATATATATATATATATATATATATATATATATATATATATATATATATATAATTTATTTAAATTTTTAAAATTTTGTATCTAATTATATAAGTAAAAAAAAAAAAGAATAAAAAAAATATAAGTCAAAAAATAAAAATAAATTATCAAAAATCTGCATTCTATACTTGGATACTAACTAGCAACTCACTAACAACATGTTTGGTTTCATGGAATAGGTCGGGAATGGCTTAACATTCTTGAGATAGATCTATTCCATTGTTTATTCCCTTTGCAGGGGAAACAGTCATTTTTAAGCAGACCCCCTCGTATTAGCTATTCTCAAGCTATAGGGAATAGCTTTTATATTATAATATCACAAATACCCTTTGTGTGTGTTTTCGTGTGTGTCTCTGTGTGTGTGTGTGTGTGTGTGTGTGTGTGTGTGTGTGTGTGTGTCGGTTCGGCATAAGAATCGACGTCGTAACGTTTATTTTTTTTTTAAATAAATATTTAAGTATACGATGTCGGTTTCTACATAACCGATGTCATATACATGTTTCAAACCTAGCTACTTAAAAAAAAAAAAAGAACTTCGACTGCTACTTCAAACAAAAAACTCCACACACCACACATCTTCTTCTTCCACACACTACACACCAGTCTCACACG